CGGACAAGCGGAAGACGCTTCCGAACGTGCTGGAGCGGCTGCAGGTGCTCAGCGAGGTTCAGGAGCAAGGTAAGTCGAGGGATCTTAATTCATTTTTATAAATCCCTCTAATCTCACTTTTTTACCCTTCAGCCTGCCACTTCTCCACCACACTGGACAGCATGCGCGACATGCAGGCGGAGATTCAGATCTCCCTGGAGAAAAACGGCCAGAATCTGCAGAGCCTCAAGGAGCTGCTGGAAAGCAAGTCGGCGGCCGTTCAGGCCATCATCGCCGACTTTGGCGTCCGTCTGGAGAAGCTGCAGAAGCAGTAGCAGAGCTGAGCTGAGGTGTCCTTTTAACTTATTATTCTGTACACACAAGATGAACTTTTACTTGCAATGAAAAGTTGAGAATATACAGCTGAAAACGGAAGACGAAAGAGGAAACAAACCATCCCCAACTACTTCTTCTTCAGCCCCACGCCAAACCAGCCAGGCGTCAGCTTTTTATCAACTGAAGAGGAGGAGCTGGTGCTGCTTGTGATGCTCTCATGCTGCGTCTTTGCCGCCATCACCTCCTCCAGCTTCGTCCGGTGGCAGGTCTCCTCCTCCTCAGCCCTGAGCGGCACCGCCCTCCTGACCACCGGATCGGTGGTGGGGTCGTAGGGAGGGATGGGAGCGACGTCGAGAGCGGCCACCAGGCGCTGCATAATTAGGTCGCACTTGCCGTTCAGCTTCAGCGTCGCCTGCGAGTCCTTGGGCGTCCACTGGAGGTTGATGATGACCAGGCTGGGCTTCCGCTTTGCCGATTTAGAAGAGACGTAGGAGGAGGCCAGCGGCCAAAGGCACTGGTACCGCCGGAGCACTTTGAGGCTGCTGCCGATGGCGATGATCAGCTCGGCTTGGGCGGCGGCCGCTGCAGCCGCCTCCCACTTGAGCGGGTACTTGAGCTTTCCCTTCTCGCCAAAGTGGACGATGGTGTCCATCAGAGGGGATTCCTCTTCTTCAGGTCCACAGGCTCTACAAAATCGGCCAGTGTCGTGCCGCCGAAGAGCCGTTCGCTCGGTGACGTCAAAGGAGCGGAGGAGGTGGGCGTCACAGCGGCGACACACCTCCACGTACATGTTGCCGTGAATCTCGGAGAGGCGCTCCTCGGGGAGGCCACTGCGAAGGTGGAGGCCGTCGCAGTTCTGCGAGACGACGTGCCCCACCAGGCCCCGTCTGACTAGTTCGGCGATGGCCATGTGAGTGAAGGTGGGTTCTAGGGGTGGATGAGATGGAAAAAGAAGTTCATAAGCTTTCAAAATAGAAATAGAAAGGCATCATTACCTGCAAAGACCAGATCATCGACCGCGGGAGCGCTGAAGCCGGCCTTGAGCTGCGTCCAGACGCCATTCGGTCCTCGGTAGTCAGGTATCGAGGCGGAGGTGCTGATCCCCGCCCCCGTGTAGATCACAGTGTGGCGGCTGGCGCGCATCAGCTCCGCCAGCTGGGCGACCTTCTTCTCCAGCAGGTGGACATCGTCCTCGACCTCGAGTTGGCGAGTCTGCTTCAGCAGCTGATACTGTCGTTGTGATTCTACCAGCCGGACGATGGGCTTGTACTGCTTCAGCAGCGTCTCCTCCTCTGCAGTTCGCTCATCGCAGCCCTTTGAAAGGATGCTTCGAATTTGTTTGGTTCTAGAAACAACGAGAGGAGGTAAAGGATGAGCAAAACAGAACAACAACTTTGTTTTCAACAAGCTTACAAATCTTTGCACTCTTGCTTTTGGCGACTGTTGAGCGAGGTTTGTGACTTGCAGGCTCGGGTAAAGTCTCGCGGCATTGCTGCTGCTGCCGAAGAGAAAGCCAAAGNACTGTTGAACGACGTTTGAGACTTGCAAGCTCGGGTAAAGTCTCGCGGCATTGCTGTTGCTGTAAAAGCAGGCCCCAGAGAAGTTTAATTAAGTAGAACGCCCACCCATTTGATGGAATTCATAGCTCAGAAAACGTAAACATTCAACGATTCTCTCGCTTCAACGTAGAAGAGAGGCGACGATTTTGGGCAAAGTTTCCGAAAAAAGTTCCAAAATACTTCTCAAACTAAAAANAAGGCCCCAGAGAGGTTTAATTAATAAGAGCGCCCAATCATTTGATGGAATTCATAGCTCAGCAAACGTAAACATTCAACGATTCTCTCGCTTCAACGTAGAAGAGAGGCGACGATTTTGGGCAAAGTTTCCGAAAAAAGTTCCAAAATACTTCTCAAACTAAAAAATAATTTATAGATTTGATCCACTTTTCACGATTCCTCTGTTGATAAGCTGATAAAGGTGGTTTTCAGTTACTTTAGATAAACTAGAATTCTTGTCTATTGAGCTAGACTGAGCACAACAGCCCAAAACTCTTTCTGTCAACAAACTATGCTTTTTTAGTCGCAAAACAAGAACGGCCCCAAACAAACAGAAAGACAGACTTTGATAGCGATGATAACTGAACGGGTGTTTTTATTATTCAGTAGAACTTAATGAGAGTCAAAACATTTAATTGCGACCGGTGTTTCCACGGAAGCCGCTGCTGGCGGGGGTGGTGCTCGTCAGCTGCAGACCGGAGATTTTGTCCATGTTCAGCTCCTTGAGCATCTGGAACGTGTCGCTGTCCACCTCGATCATCACGTTGTCCAGGGCGGAGACCTAGAAGAGACAAACAAGATCGTTAATGAGCAATTCTTGAAGCAAAACAAACAAACAAACAAGCAGCAACATACCTCTGGGACGTAGTTGTCACGTCGCTCGCGCTCCTCCTCCTGGAGCTTGATGGAGATGCCGCGGACGGGGCCGCGCTGGATGCGCTTCATCAGATGGGTGACGAAGCCGGCAATCTGGTTGCGCAGCCGCTTGCTGGGGATGATGGCGATCTCCTCGCAGATCTTCTTGTTCACGTGAAAGTCCATCGTCAGGCGGGTGTAGTACTTCTCGATGATCACCCGCGACGCCTTCTTGATCGTCTTGGTACGAACGCGACCCTGAGGAGAGGAGAGAGAGGAAGTATTTTTCGGTCAGTAGGTGTTTCGGGTTACCTGCGGGACCCGAGCAGGGTCCGGGAACTTACCATTTTCGGCGTTAATGAGACTGTTTACCAGTGGTTCGGCGAAGGCAGCGGCAGAAAGGCAGAGGAAGTGAAAGAGAGAGAGAAAGAGCGAGCATGGAGCGTGGCCAGGGACGGGAATCGCGTCCACTTTTCTGCTGTAGCTACACAGCCAACGCTAGAGAGCGCGTAACGTTGGCTGTGTAGCTACAGCGGAAAAGTGGACACGATTCCCACCTCTGAGCGTGGCAGCACTGCAGCACAGCAGAAGCGGCGGCCGAAAAAAAGCCAACTTTGGGGGCGCTCGCAGAGGACGGACGCTGAAAAAACTGCAAAACACAAAAAGGCGACCACCAGTGTTGTTTACGCCTGTCGTACAGAAACGCAAAGAACGCCGTTGTCCGTGACCAGAACTTTAAAACTTTTTGCTAATTTTCACCACCAAATCCACCACTACGATGACGCCCATCCGCAAGCTGGTCGTCTACAGCATGGCGATGATCGTCCTCCCGCTGGCCAGCTACTTCATCTCCAACAGCGTCCTGGCGGCCCGCTGGACCACCGACCACTGGGCGAACATCTACGCTGCGATCATCGCCGTCCTGGTCGTCCACGTCGTCCTCTTCAGTTTCGTCTACCAGGCCTACTCGGATGACCAGATCGCGGAGAAGGCGGAGCTGCAGGGCAAGAAGGCCGACTAGAGAAAGTGTCGTCGT